GAATAATAAATTTTACAGTCATTAGCATAAAGATAAATAGTAGAATTTATTACCACTGTGGTGATATCATTTATATATAATAGAAATAGCAATGGCTCAATATAACTGCCTTGGGGTACGCCTGATTTAACAGATGTCATGTCAGAAAGAGTGTTGTTAACATATACAGCCTGGTAACGATCTTTTATGTAATCTGAAACCCAGTTATAGAGGTCCCCTGTTATGCCATAACTATTAAGAGTGACCAATAATTTGCTATGGGAAACAGTATCAAAAGCCTTAGCCAAATCTAGATACATAACTGATACTATTTTTCCATTGTCAATTGATGCTGACCAATCAGAGAGATTTGCCAATATTTGTGAAGAAGTAGATTTTTTTGTACAAAAGCCATGTTGATAAGAAGATATAAAATTATTGGCATCAAGATAAGTAAGCAATTTGTTGCAAATCAACCTTTCAAGTACCTTGCTACCAACACATGTTAGGCTAATAGGTCTATAATTAGAAGCGTCATAGGTGCTTCCTTTTTTATGAATGGGAACTATATGGGACAATTTCCAAATTTTGGGATTAAGGCCAGACTTCATAATATCTTTATAAATTAAAAATAGGGGAAGACTCAGAGAGACTGCGCATTTTTTATAAATTATTTGTGGAATGTTATCGGGACCAGCTGAAATGGACGGCTTAAGTCTATTTAAGGCATCATAAACATCCAGTAGTGTTATTTCAATCTCGCAGAGAGAAGTGCAACAAATTCGATTTACGTTAAAACAGGAAGTATGAGTATTATCTTCAATAAACACACTAGAAAAATACTGATTAAATACATTTGCAATATCAATATCAATCAGAGGTGATCACATTATCATTATGTTGCAGAATTAATTGTTTACGTGGATTTGCAAATTTTTTTTTGATATAGGTCCAGAAAGAATTTCTATCAATATTTAAAAGTTGTTCTTTATTTGAAAAGTAATTATGAATGGCGCTACGGAAACTTTTTAAGCATTCTTTATATGCAGAGAGATCATTTGGCAATTTGGTTAATTGATATTTGTTATAAAGCTTCTTGACACTTTTCTTAAGTGGGAATTGACCTAATGTTCGTTTTTCTTAAAGGGATATATCGGTCTATTAGATATAAAATGATGCTATTAAGAAAATTAACTTTTTCATCGATAGAGGGAATTAAACAAAATAAGAAATCCCAGTTTATTTCTGCGAGGATAGAGTTAAAGATTTCATCTTCGATGGAACAAACACGACGATTTGATGCAAATGCCCCAAAAGTGAATCGTCGAAAAGTTTCAGTTAAGAAATATTTTAATAATTCTATTGAGTCTCAACTTCGCCGCACCAACCTCCCTTAATAATAGGAAACCACTCACCAAAATGTGCAAACTTCATTATTGAAAAAATTTGTTATATTTTTTAATATATTGCCATTCCCCCTTCAACCATTGTATATTTCATCATATATATCTTTTATATTTCGAAAAATCTCCTAATTTTAATGAAGCATGAATGATATTGTGATCACTATTACAAAAAGGTTCGTACCAATTAATTTTAATTTGAGTAACAAGTTGTAAAGGTCCCTAGTGAATTTGCTTCCATAGCCCGGTGGGCGATATAGATTTAAAAGAGAAATATTACTGTTATTAAGATAAATTTTAATTATCAAAGATTCAAAAGAGGAGCAAACATAATCATCGAAGGTTATAAATTTATAATAATCAGGAATAAGCATGATAAGCCCACCTCCACGAATATTTGAACCATTTATTGTTCTATCCTTGCGTGATACTATAAAGCCGTCAAAGTTTAGTTCGCGATTATCAATAGAGTCATCCAACCACGTTTCATTGATACAGAAAATACTGTTTGGATTATCAATTAGTAAGAGTCTTAGGTCATAAAGTTTATATTTTAAACTTCTTGCGTTAAAAATATATAAAGATAAATTACCTCCTATTTTATTAACCTTACTTGATAACTTGTCCTAGGCTGCTGCAGACTGATGAGAATATGTTGGAATCAAAAAATTGCTCGTCGGTGCAATCCATTGGCGAGGCTGCCTGAGTTCCACTATTTGAAGATTTCTGACGACATACTTTTTCAGATTAAGACTTTGATTTCGTGTATAACATTCTTTTCGCAGCTGTTTATCTAGCAATAATTCTCTTTTCGTCAGATCTTTTCGCAAAAAACTTCCAGGGGGAACGATCGAGCGAACATCTTTGTTACGCAGAACAGACATGGCCATATGCTTATCTTCAAGACGAATTTTAAGTACTCGTGGCCTGCCTGTCCCCTTCCTTCCATGACGACGAACCTCCTTAATAAATTCAGTCTTGAACCCAGCGGCAACTACAATGTTTTCTGCTAAAAGCCTATCGGCAGTAGCAGAATCATCATCCGTAGATTGCTCTGGAATGTTTATGCCAACTAGATATGGTTCTTTTTCCTTCCTTTCAAAATATTCTTCAATGGTTTCCAATACTTGTTCAGTTTCAATTTTTGAATGTTCGAAGTTGCTCAAAGACGAAGCTTTCAAATTATTAATATCATTCTTAAATTCTTCGTTGACCTTTGTAAGTATTTCAACAGATCTAGTTAAATGCATAATTAGATCTTGTTGTTTTTCATATTTCTCAGTAATGGAAGCTAGTTGTGACCTCAGATCCTCGATAGTTTTATTTAAATAGCTAACATCATTATTGGAAACGGTCCCATTTATTGCTACTTTTTTCGGTGCCATTTGGAATTTCCTTTTATCTTATAAGTGCCCAGTATAAAACGATAATAACAATATACTTTTAGAAAGAATATCTTTTAGACAAATGCAATAAGAATTTAGCGAAGCACAATATAATATAACAGAAATAATGAATTATTGACAAAGAGAATAACCGACACCACCGCTCACGAGAACAGCAAAAACGAATTTAAGTCTTGGTGTGAATATTCCTTTAATTGGAGCAATACGAGATTTGGTATATATTAAGAATGAAGCTGATTCTTGGGTGTCCTACATTGAGAGCATAAATTGCATAAATTGCTGCTGCGTATGCAGAGTTAGATGCATCGGTAAATACGTGTATCTCCAATTGTTGTACTGAATTTATTACAAACCTCGCTAAATCGATTACATTGGTTGGCCATTTTTTAATCATCTTGTGTCATTGTTGCTCATCTTGTTGGGTTAAAACTGATCCCAAGACCTGTTCTGGTTCCATAAATGTTGAAGAATTAATTTGAAATCCAATCCAATTAATGCCAAGGAAATTATTCTTGATCGTCTTTGGTTGATCATATTCAGCTATTCGTTCATTAAATTCATCATTCTTCATCATTTGAGAGAAATTCTCTTACATTCATTGCAGCTACATTGGAATAATTTTCATTTCTTCATATTTCAATAGAGCACCTTCAGTTCCATTGGCTGATAATGTAATGTAATATTGTCCACAAAAATATTCTTCTCTATTACGGTGGCTGTCTCGTTACCGTAAATTTCCAGAAGGTAATTTAATGTGACCGATAATAAAAAAGGTGATGAGATAATTCCGAAATAAAACTCTTTTAGAACGATAACATTTGATGTTTTCTTCAATAATGTCTTTGATAATATCGTGTAACCAAAGAAATAGAGTAGAATTTCTATCTTCTGGGTATAATTCTATGTGTAAAAAGGCCTTTTCATTATCGGCTACTATCACTATTTCCATCATATGGAATCTCAGTAGAACTCCGACTAAGTCTGGTGGCAAGACTGGGCCTCGATATAGCACTTCGTTCAAACTCTTCTTTCCTTGAAGGTATGCCGAAGCATCATAAACGATTCTTAGATTCGTAGTGCTTTTATCTGGAGTTAATACGCCATGATGCGGTAAATAGTGCATAATCTCCACCTTTTCAACATTGAAGTCCATATCCTCTATCTAATTGTTTTTGTTCTTTATGTTATCATACAAGTTGAGATTTGATTCTGCTTTAATCGTTTGACCAGATTTTTTAGGCGTCCCAAGCATAATCCAAAATTGTTGCTTAATTTTTCTGTTGATTCTTTCCATAGCCATTTCACTCGATATCGATTGTTTTGTTATGGATCTCCTAAACGGTTTCAATGCCTCGTCATCGGCGTTGACATTAGGTCCTTCCTGTATTCCCATGACTTCTAACTTCCAAAAATTTTCTATTTCTGATCCGGAGCTTAAAGTGGCTCCATAAATTGTATTAGAGGTATATATCGTACCTTTTTGACAAAATTGATCCTTGTCACCACTTCCCACATTGATCCAACTTTCGTATGAATTAATGAGAATCCGGATTCTAGTAATTCAATTTTGTTCAATTCAATTCAGATTTTATTCAATTCTACAAATTTGAATAAATGATCTGCTCCAATTAAAATATCGGCTCGTCTCCAATAATTTTTTAAATTCATCGTTTGATTGGCCGTCGGTATTTTAACAACATGTAAGTCCTTGGTCAAATATTCGAATATATTAGCGCATATTTCGATAATCTCATCTTCGTTAATTCGTATATATACTGAGCTGCGCTTGAGTGGCTCTATATGATTTTTAGTTTCTAATACCGAAATGAGCTAATCTTAATTGTTATTCATCAGTTTCTGTTAAGTCTAGTCGCTAAACTAGTTCCTTTGATATGAAAGATAATTGTGACCCATTGTCAAATAGTGCTAACGCTTCTTCTGTTCTGGTTGTAATGGGTTAAATATAGTTATCTTCTTACACAGTAGCAAGGTTTCTTTATTTATTTATTTATTGAAAACCAACCAATTAGGGCGCAAATGCCATGTGCTTGTATTAGTAACAACAGTTAAAATAACAAATAATAAGAATTAATGACAAAAAAACAATAAAATAAAATATAAATTAACAATTTAAAGATGAAATAAAGAGGAAATTACAAAATAATATACTAAAATACAATTCGAAATAACTGTAAGCAGATGGTAAAAATCGAGATTTCACACTTCCGGTATAATGTGAATTTAAATAATATCATAAATGATATTATCCAATCTTTATTTAAAGATGGCTAGGGACAACTAGGGATGACGCACAAGCTATATCGTTCGGTAGTTTATTCCAGTAATTAATATTACGAATAAAGAAATCATGAGTCCTTAGTTTAGTTTTACACATAGGTTTTAGTAATTTTAGCCCAATAGTTCTTGTTGGATTTAAATTTAACCGAAAATTATAATATTTTGAATATTACAATCTAGTTTAACATTACCATACAGAATCTTATAAGTATAATTTAAATCTTGTTTAATACGACGAACTTGTCGAGAATTTTCTCGAAACTATGAATCATTGCTTATAAAAATCAAAAGGTCATTTTTGGCTTGCTTCTTCCTTTAAAACGCTGTGTGGGAGTGGGTTTCCCTTTTTTTTGCAATATAAATGGTTTTTTTTAAACTCACGTTTTACCTAAACCATTGTCCCTATATTCGATAAAAATAAAAAATTATCATATTGTTGTGGTGCCACGAGCCGGGAATGTCAGCTATAATAGTTAAAGCTGTTCAACCGGTGAAAGAAAAGGTATTAAGCCTTCTGGAAGAAATCAAAAAAATGGATTT